ATGGAGTTTAGGGAAAGAAGAAACGGGTTAACGTTCAGAAATGACGGAGACCGATATATACCTAAGATTAACGTGTTCTTATCCAGTTTAATTTCTAGGCAATTGCAATCCTCACATACGGACTCGTCCACACTGACATTCAGTGTGTTTTTTATGTAAGCGGTTACACCACCACATTTATTTATATATTTAACCGTACGAAAGGAAGTGTAACCTGGTAGCTGTGGAATTATGGAAGTGTCATTTATCCAACATTCTGTTAAAATAATTATATCTAGGTCTAAATTTAAACGGTTCAGTGTGACAAGGAACGCGTCGAAATTTTGCTGTAAGCTTCTTATGTTTAACGTCAGTAATTTCAAGTTTTTCTGCGACAGTAAACTAGCACAGTCTTCAACGCTGTCGATTGAGTAGCAGTCCACGGAAAGAGTTTTATCAAAATCGTTAATTAAGTTAGCCATTTTCAAATTTAATCAATTTTACGAAAATAACATGTAAAATATTCAAAGGAAACGTTATTGGACTATTACTGCAGGTCTCGACAGCGAAGCGACGGCAAAAATCTAAGATCTGTGTATACTGTGTGTGTAAGTGTGATGTTTTGTGTGTGGAAGTGTGAAATGTCTTTATCATATTATTTGAAGTTAAAACTACCATGAAATTAAAAATTACAAGTAACAAATTACAATTACAAGTAAAATAAATATAGAAAATTCCTGGCTTATCAGTGTGAGTTTGGTACCTTCCCGGCGCTTTCTTCAACGAGTTTAGGTACACCAACTTTTTCGTCCAGCTCGGAGTTTGTAGTGATACGGATAGCAGGTTTGCCATCTCCTTTTCTGACGTAGATGTTACCGTTTCGCACCCAGCAGTAGCGAAATCCATGCTCAATAGATCGTAATCTTGCTTCTCGAAATAATTGCCTGTTTTCTTTAGTTAATCTTTCATTGAAAAATACTTTTACTGGCTGGCCGGCTACTATATTTTCGGAAGTGACGTTACGCCTGGCCTTTGCTGCTTTGAGAATTTCGTCGCGTTTGTGTTTCCTCAGTAGTTTTACAACGATTGGCCGAGATATTTTGTTTTCTGAGGTGGCAGTCTTGGCTGCTGGCTTCTTCGGTCCAACACGTTGAATATCTTCAATGTCGGACTCATTTAGATCGATACCAATCTTCTGCGACGCTACCTTGACAACATGGCACAGATTTTCATTATCATGTTCCGCGATTCCAGTAATTTCGATGTGATTTTTCATGTGGTCTTGCTCGCGCATTGCCAGCTGTGTCTGCAGGTTTCCAACTGTGGACTTAAGGTTTGCAATCTCGAGTTCTGCACTTTGAAGTTTTCTAGAGTGGTCGTTTAACGTCTCTTTCAATGTGTCTGACAAAGATGACATCTGAGTTTTTATTTCTAAGTTTTGCTTTTTCACTTCTGTAATTTCTTGCCTGAGTTGTTGGAGTTCTTCAATAAAGGATGAAAAATCCGTGCATTGGGATGTATTTTTGTCAGCGGCTTTAGCTTTCGCTCCTTGCAATCTCGTTCCGTGCGATGACATTATGTGCAATATGAATACGGAGCAACCCGAACTGACTGACTGAATACGGAACAACCCGCGGCGAGGGACGAAGGCGAGGGGGGGTGGTGTAGCGAACGAGCGACCGAGCGACGCGATGCGTATTTATGTAGATGGCCGTTAGCAAATATTTTCACTTGTAGTGTCCATAATCTTTTGTTTTGTAGCAAAATAATCACATCACTGGTTAGTTTAAATCTTCTACTTTATACTAGTGTCAATTGGTTAAGGATTCACACACTTTTTCCTACTGATTTGATTTAAATACCGGGAGCTGTCAAAAATACGTCCGCCCCGGCCGATGACCCGAGGGATTTTTAGGAATTAGTCCATTAAGTTTAATGCTAATCAATTAATGATGATGAAGTTTATATTCATTATTTCAGAAACTATGTTATTAACTTTTCTAATTATGAATATAACATTTAAGTTTAGTTTTTATTAAAATAAAGTTTTTAAGACATCATACAATTTAAGATTATAAACTTTCGCGTTCCATTTCAACTAAAATAGTAAGACACGGGTCTTAACGCAACGTTTAATGTACTCACGGCTTGACGTTTCATAAATAAATGTCGCGATAAGACCCGTGTCTCACTATATTAAATCATACAATTATAATTATATTTTTTTAAATGACGAAAAATTACAATTATTATTCTCAATACCTTTGATTCCGAAACAAGATAAATTATAAGATTTTCTTTAATTATTATGTACAAATTCTGATCAAACTAATATCTGTACAGGGTATAAATTGCTCTAAAACAATAATTATCAGATTTTTATATGACCAATATAGCCTTTAAATAATATAAATGTTGACTTGTCCATTCAAACTAACATCAACCGATCGGCACTTCCAGTAATTTTGGGATTTCGATGTTGATCGCATAAAAAGAGCTGTCATTTTTTAATATCTGAATAAAATTTGTTTCAAGCAGAAATACAGTGAATTTTTGTTTGACCCTAAATAATAATTAAATTATATACAGTGTGTTACAATAAAGTGTACATATAAAAATAAATGAAACTAGACCTATTTTTATCAACAAAGAAGAGGTCAAAAATTGTTTTTTTTTTTAATTTATTATAGAATTTTTTTTCTTCCGATTACTTATTGCAAAGAAAACATAATAAATTTTTAACTAAGAGGTATATCCTGTTAAAATAAAAACAGTAATAATGCTAAATAACAGACGATACTAAAAAAATACATAAAATACTCAGAAAATGCCAACAAATAAAAAAAANACTAAGAGGTATATCCTGTTAAAATAAAAACAGTAATAATGCTAAATAACAGACGATACTAAAAAAATACATAAAATACTCAGAAAATGCCAACAAATAAAAAAAAATGATACTTTTTGAAAAAAAAAAAACTGCTTTCAAATTCGTGTTTTTTCGGTTATTTGATAAATTTCTCCAAAAAATGCCCCTATAACAGGTGGTTTTTATTACTTTGTATTATTCTCTATCTTAATACCTTTGTAAAACCAAAAATCGCATGTCACAAAGGTAATACGATAAAGAATAATACAAAGTAATAAAAACCACCTGTTATTGAGGCATTATTTTGAGAAACTTATCAAATAACCAAAAAAACACAAATTAAAATGCAGATTTTTCTCAAAATGCATCATTTTTTTATTATTTGTTGCCATTTTCTGAGTATTTTATGTATTTTTTTAGTATCGCCTGTTATTTAGCATTATTACTGTTTTTATTTTATAATATATTTTAGGATATACCTCATAGTTTAAAAGTTATTACGTTTTCTTTACAATAATAATTGGAAGAAAAAAATTAAAAAAAAAATTAAAAAAAAACTAAAAAAATTGACTTCTTTTTTGTCGATAAATATTATACAATTGTCCGGGCTTGTAGTGATCAAACTTTAAGGGCAATAATCTATGGACAATTTTATCGATGAAAATACTTCAAAGAAGAACGGTCATCTGTGACCCAGGCCCGACAGAAACGAGACATACCTCAGTTTTTTTGTCATGTCTTAATTAGTTAAATTATATATTTTTTATATTCGAAATCTATGTATAACACCAAAATATTACCCTTTGTTTTTGTTCAGGCGTTATACAAAAACTAATACAAAATGCCTATTTATCACCAAAATTGGTAAATGTATGTACCTAAATGTCTATTACAGCTGCTATGGAATGTATCTAGGTGACCTGGAGATACAGCCGGATTATACAGGGTGGAAACGAGAAGTTACAAAATCCAAAAATTCAATGTTACCAGCTTCCATAATCTGTAACCTATTATTGGTACCATTTGAAAGAGCTCGTGAAGCACTTTCAGAATCAGTAACTAGTTTTTCGATATCTTGTATAGTTTAGAAATAATCGAGTGAGATCACTTATCGTTCCATATGTATAACCACCCTGTATAATCCGGCTGTATCTCCAGGTCACCTAGATACATTCCATAGCAGCTGTAATAGACATTTAGGTACATACATTTACCAATTTTGGTGATAAATAGGCATTTTGTATTAGTTTTTGTATAACGCCTGAACAAAAACAAAGGGTAATATTTTGGTGTTATACATAGATTTCGAATATAAAAAATATATAATGTAACTAATTAAGACATGACAAAAAAACTGAGCTATGTCTCGTTTCTGTCGGGTCTGGGTTTTTTTTGAATGGGGCGTGACCGTTCTTCTTTGGGGCTTGTCCCATTTCCCGCAAAATTACGAGGATTTAAGTTTTTAATTTTTAGTTTTCACCTTTTCCTTCAAAAACAAGTGAAGACGTGGGTAACTTAAAAATTAATAAGCAAATATTTTATATCATGCGATAGCCAATAAAATCATCTATTAGTAGAAGTAGAAAACGGACCCAAGTTTCATACATTTTAAGGGAGTAAGAATGGATTTAATTAGAAAAAACATAACTTTTTTCACATCTTTTTCAGTTATTTTCCAACACAAGAAAAACCAGGTCGTTAAGGTATGTTTTATTTGCATTGTATTACTAGCATTTGAGCTATTCTACAAAACGAATGTAAATTTATTAGTCTACGTCAATTAGTTTCGACGTAATCGTTGAACAAAGATACCCCTTCCCAGCGGTTTCCATAGCGCACGCTACATGCGAAAATGCACTGCCTGAAAGAATCACACAACCTATTCCGATTACTATGGAAACCGCTGGGAAGGGGTATCTTTGTTCAACAATTACGTCGAAACTAATAAACGTTTATTAATAAATTTACATTCGTTTTGTAGAATAGCTCAAATACTAATAATACAATGCAAATAAAACATACATACCTTAACGACTATATTGGAATTGTAATTAGTACAACAATTATTATTAAAAGAAATAAAAAAGATTGTGATTAGTTTGAATTCAAAATTTTGACTAAGTGTGCAAAAACAAAAAAATATATAATATATTCAATCATCAAACATATCTTCATTACACTTTATAAGAATAATACTTTTAATTGTCTGATCCAACAGACGATTTCGGGAAGGTGTTAAAATAAATTTTAATGTAGAAAATAGCCGTTCTACGGTGACCTGCGTTGCTGGAGCAGCAAGCACTACCAGCGCTACTTCAGCTAATTCATTTGGTAATTTTTGTGTCCAGTACACTATCACGTCTTCCGTAATGGCAAGTCTTGGAGTTGTCGCATATTCAGCTAAGAAATAGTCAAAATTCATTCTTACGAAGTCGGTTGAACGATGTCTTACTCTTTGTGTTTCATCTAAAATTGATTCCAAAGACTGAAGGTCAGTTTGAAAATTATTACCGGGTACTGAATGTTGTACGCTTATGGGATCCCGAGAAGTACTTGCTTGATTTAAAACACTAGAACTCTCTTGGATTTCTGGGCTATTTTTTTCCCGCTCTTGATGTATGAGACACATCTGTCGATGGACATCCTTAATCCAGTTTCTGGCAATCTCTATTTCTTGTTCTGATAAAGTTATCTTCCATCTGGGATCAATAAAAATTGCCGCCAAAAATGCATTATTCTGCAGTAACAGATTTTCTCTATGTATCATAGAAGTTACAATATCTTTGGCCAGCGGGAAATCGAGATTTTCTGTCTTGTTTTTACAAATTATCCATATTGAATAAAAATCACCCAATGTTAGCTGCTCTGCTTGAAGGCGTATTGTAGCTTCGGCCGCTGGTTGTAAACATTCCAGTATTTTATTTATTTCTAACCAAAAATTCTCACTAAGTATTTGACATATTTCCTCAGAGTCATCACAAATTGCTTTTAACTCTTTTAGTCTTCTCAACATGTTATACGTCGATGCCCATCTAGTGTTACAGTCTATGACTGGTTTTCTCAGTTTTTGTGATCGAATCCTGATTTTCATTAAAGGTCGACGTAAAATACTAACGACACGGCGACTAATGTCAATGACGGAATCGGTTTCCGGGTTTTTATTTATAGCATCTTTTACACAAAGCTGTAAAGTATGTGCTGCACATCTTACTGATGTAATTTGAAATGGATGACTTTCTGTGTCTTCATTGGTATCATTTAAAACAGTGGCATCAAATGAATCAACACCTGAATTAAAATTGTTTTCATCGTCTGTTTCTTCTTCGCTGTCATTATTTTCGTTTCTTATTTCTTCATTAAATAAACTTGTTACCTTTAAGTAGTTCGATCCGTTATCTGTCGTGATAGAGTAAATATTTCTCAAAGGAATACCAAAATCGCCAAGAATGTCAATGATTATTAATTTCAAATTTTCTGCTGTTTGTCTATCAAAAATTTCCTGGAGAGCCAATGTACGTGAAACAATTTTGTTTTTTTTTATGTACTGAACATTAACTCCAATAAATTGCCTGTCCAAGCACGTAGCAGAATCTAATTTGACAGAAATCATCTTTTGTTTTAATTCAGTGGTGATTTTTTCTTTTATTTCGTAAGATTTATCTAAAATCATATCTTTTATTTTTTTACTATTTCCTTCATTTTTAAAATCAGGTAATATTAAAGCCTTAATGTCACAAAAAGCTTCGTCATCGAGTAGTTCAAATGGCCTTCCATGAACAGCAATCAATTTGATGCAGCTATCTAGTAATTTTTTTCGTTTTTTATCCTTTTCATCTTCGGTTGCGTTCTTTTTTTCTGTAATTTTTACAGATAATTTATTTATTTGTACTACTTTTTTGTATTCGTCTTCATGTTTTAGACGCAGGTGATTCATCAAATTTGTGGCGTGGTTACCCTGAAAACAAAATCAGTATTTACTAAAGATAATTATAATATTATTTTATAAATATCTGACAAAATCATGATCAGAATGTATGAAACAACTTATCCCTATACTTAGTGACGACCGTACAGCAGTGTTGGCACTAATCAATTAATTTTTTAATCAATTAATTAATTCGATTAATTTTAATCATGATTAAAAAAGTAATCATAATTAATTTGTTATTCAATTATCATTAGTTTGATTAATTTGGTTAACTTTATTAACTAGGTACCTAAATGTTCTATGCAAACAATGGAAAAACATTGAATTCCAATATTACATGTTTGGTTTTAGCAGAGTAAATTTTAGGCTACAATTCCGACCTTCCGTAGGAGCACAGTAGATAAATCAAACAGTACGGAAGCTTCATACAAACCACAGTAGATAAATCAAACAGTACGGAAGCTTCATACAAACGCTCGAAATCAGACTCACGCACACAGACGCACGCTTTACACGAGCTCTAAGCGAACCTCGCAGTCCATCCGTCGCGAGTGTCGCGCGCGTTGTGTTTTTAATAATAATTTTATTGCATGCACTGTCCGCTGTATTTTTTAAAAACATGCCACTAGTGCATTGCGTAGTTTATGGCTGCTTGAACTCGGCATCTTCAAAACCAGAACTTTCATTTTTTAAACTTCGTAATAATTCTGAATTGTAAAAATGATTAAATATTACTTTTTAAATAAAGTGCTTACATCTGATTTTGTAATAGTTCTTTTTAAATTACGTAATTACGATTTTTAACAATTTATGTGTTCTATTTGATAAAGTAATTTGCTCCGCGCGCTTTTGTACTAAGTGATGAACTGTATTTGAAATGAGG